ATATATATATATATATATATATATATATATATATATATATTCAGATTTTTTTTCAGTTTACCTCTACTCAGAATGTCATGAGCAATCATTTCAAATCCCATAAAAATGTAAATTATTTTATTACTTGAAGAATAAATGGATTGATCTCCTGGGCCAAATTCAAGAACACAAGAGGTCAAATTCATCCTTGAGCTAACATTATTGCAGCCAGTGATACGATACGAAGGATGTGTTCATCCTATTGACTTTCTCTATTATTCGATTATATTATTGGTTATTTTCTATACTAGTATGGCCAGTCCTGTGAGGTACTAATGGCTGGTGAGAGGCACTGCATGACATCAAGTCACATTCAACTACCCTATTGATGGGTGTACTCTGCACTTCATGGGCTTGGGCTGTTAATTGGGAAACCTAAACAGCTCTATACAAATAGAGCTATTCAGATTACCTTTATCTCATTTGAATATTAGTGTTTATCTTTTACAGCAAGTACATTTTTATTGATCTAGAAAATATCTGTTTTAGGCAATATGCATCTGCATTATAGCACCAGTAAGCACCATAGCTTTTATAAGGTAGCTTTTGTTAGAGCAGAAAAATGGGGAGTTAAATGGAGGGTGCTATTAAACAGATGGAATTGGTCTCGAGTGGGTCTTTCTTTTTCTGTATTTCTTTGTCTTTCTTCTTGAGAACGAAGACTGAATGGGGACCTGATAATGGTCTCCAGTATGTTAAGGGCTGTTTATAAAGAGGATGGGGATCAGTTGTTCTCCATGTCCAGTGTAGGTAGGACCAGAAGTAATTGGCTTAGTTTGCAGCAAGGGAGATTTAAATGTGATGTCAGGGAAAACTTTCTAACTATAAGGATATTTAAGTACTGGAATAAGTTACCAAAGTAGGTTGTGGAATCACCGTAACTGAAGGTTTTTAACAATAGGTTTGACAAACACAGGTCAGGGATGGCCTATGTACTAGGAGATGGACTAGATAACCTCTCAAATGCTATTCCAGCCCTACATTTCTATGATTCTGTGTGTGTTGTCATGTGAATAATTCCTATAAACTTGATGCTTCCAAATTAGAGATTTACAGAAAAAGACAAAACCCCACACATGCAATTCAAATATTATTTATAATTGACCTTCATGTCAATTTTTTAATATTCAGTCTGCTGAGTGTTTAAAAAAGCAATTAAAAGACTCATATAATGTTAAAACCCTCAATACATGTACTAAATAAATTACATATTTAAAAGAGGGAATCTATGTCCCATTAGGACAGAAAAAGAAGGATGAGAGCAACATATGGCAGTATAATTAGCATGATTAGGGAAGAACATCAATTGAATTAATGCTGCAGGAAAAAATGCAATAAGAAACCAACATATCTACCTCACTGCCTTGAGAACTGAAAATATGGGCTGCTTAAAAAAAGAAGACTGAGAGTCACTGGCATTTGAAGCTGGTGTGTTCCTCTGTCATTATTAAAGAGGTAGGCAATCATCTGCAATCCATTCATTTTTTGCAGATTTCACATTGTCCCATTGCTTTGATTAATAAGTTGGAATATTACACATACGCTGCTTTTCAGAAAGATGGTATTTTGGAGACCTAATTAATACATATTCCATAGTTAGCTTGAGGTATTTGTTAGTGCCCAATACAGGCTTCTTATTTGTTCCTTGTAATATAGTGTGTCTTGACATCACAATTTTCATTTTGCATTCTTCACATGTAATCATTATTTTGATAGCACTGGTATTATTTATACTTCTGACAGTTACAGGGACTATTTACATGTACTGTGACATACAGCATATGTATCTACCCCTTTCCAAATAATTAGATTATGGAAAAGCACTGTTTTGAAATTTGAACTGTGCTGATATTTCCAGTTTACCACTAAGGGTCAGTCTAGACTAGGTAAGTGCACAACTGCAGACAAACGATGTACTATTTGTCCTTCTAGTGGTACAAAACTGCACAGTAAAAACACAGGTCTTTGGAAAACGGGAATGCCCCTTCCTCATACCACTCTCTCCAGCTGTTCCGTTGTGGGATGCCTGAGTCACTTATCCCATAATCTGCAGCTCTCTGGAGCCTGAAAAAGTAGAAAAGTACGATAGGATTCAATTGATATTCAGGATTTAAAATGACATTTATGCACTAGACTACAACAGCAAAAACGACCTTTCCTGCTTGTTGAGTTGGCAGGTGAGAGTGGGCTTTTTCTTCATTCAAAGATGGCCCATTTTTATGGGGTTTGAATTCTATTGTTTTTCAGCTGAGCTGACAGGTTTCTCTCTTGTTTTCTCAAAGACCGCGAAGCAGACGTGGTCTGGGCCAGTGCCCAGAGGGAGTTGGGTGCTCCAGGAGAGTCACTGCACTTAGGGTCGGCCTTCCTGCCGACCTCTGGCAGTGTCATCCATCAAGTGGTCTGTATTATTCCTCCTAAAAGTGAAGGGAAACAAACATTGTGTGAAGTATCATGGGACAGTAAATTTGTGGTTTGAGATTTAGTTATCCCATAATCCGCAGCTGGGGATCAGGAGGTCGCTTTGCCTAGTGAACACATTTGTACCTGTGATGTCATTTCAGTACTGTGCCTTTTCCTGCTCTCTCTTTCTGGGGTGCCTATAGCTTGGCAGATGCTACTGAGCCAACTCCAGGATGAAGATTCCCCCTAGTAACAAAGTGCTCACCCCTGTGATCACTTGAATTTTTCCTATTGGACTTTTTTATGCTTGTGATGTCAGTAAAGTTAATGGGCACTGAAGGCAACCATGGGAGTTCCAGGCCCAGCTGAGATCAGCTAAGTAAATGCCTGAGCTACTGTTAGGACTGTCAAGAAGGGAGAGTGGCAGTGGACTGAGCTCACAGTGGTCACTGAGAGGCAGGGCACAGCAACGTGCAATAGAATTGAGAGTGCCTGTTACACCAGTGCAGCTAAAAGGCATGTGTGTTCCCATACTCTCTGACTGGGCACTAGTCTAACAATGCACAGCTGCAGGTCGAGGCAGGGTAAAGACTTCCAAGATGGAGTGAACCCGCTACTGCTAGCAATGCATGGACTCAGTATGGACATGTGGGACCACACTATGTCCCTCCCACCATCTGCTTTGCTCCACTCTCTTGGTACCACGGAGCTAGGCTACGAGCATAAAGTGGAAGCTGGGGATTTCCCTTATGTCGCAGGCCTGGGCAGGAAAGCCTCTCCACTGTGGCTATCCTGAGAAGCCAGCAATGGCCAGGGAGAGTGAGGTGTTAGAGCAGCCAGCCTCAGGCTTTGGGATCAAGAAATATCTGAAAATCTATAATGCTCCTCTCTCTGGACCTGCACTAACCATCGCTCGCCTAGATCAAAGACCTGGGCTTGAGGTGCTTTTGAGGTAGGCAGGAAGCTAGTATTTTGCTGCAGGCATACAAACAATGAGACATGTAGGCTATAGTATGATTAAATGTGGAGACTGCAACTTTATTAAAGCAACCAGCCAGGAATCACTCCCTGAAGTATCTGGCAGGGCTGTTGTAGGATGGATTTCAACTAGGCATCAATGCCCCCCGAGTTCTACAAATCTGAAGACAGGTAGGAGGGCAATACCCCCTGTATCCTCTCAGCCCTGCCGAGGAATTCTGCCTGGAAACCAGAATTCCAACCTTCTCCACACACGAGATAGGCCAGAGGGGATGAAAGAGCCACTCGCTGTGCAAGGCAGGCAGGTAAACCCTTCACTGTCCAATGTTGTGCTCTGGTTCCATGCCTCAGCATGCCATTGGGCTACAGCGACCTCGCATCAGAGCCTCTTTAGTTGTGAGAATGTAATTTAAACCTCTCCAGAAGCGACCTCTCAGATGCCAGAGAGAAGGTGAATAGCCCAGGCAGCAGTTTGCCAGCTTCACCCTATGGAAAAATCCCTTGCAAACCCCAAATAAATTTGGTGACCAGCCTCGTCCTCTGCATCATAGGAGATCCAGCAACGAGGCATGGGTAGGGCTGGAAGAGAGCCCAAAATGGCTACCTGTCAGCAGTCAGCAGAAGCAAACTTCCCTAGTCCCAGCAGGTGAGAGCGAATCAGCTGGCCCATCATGACTCCCTACTGTCCAATGGCAGCAGGAGGGAGCAGAACAAGTTTCAGTACCTGGATGCTGTATGAGATATCCCCCTTTGGCCTCACAACATGGGGGAAGGAAACACAAAAGACACATCATCCTCCCCCTCCCACATGGTATAGGCCAGCAGGAGTGGGAGAGGCTGTAGCACTGTGCCAGCCACATCTGCTTGAGATCCCCCCACCCTCTGATCCATTGCTCCTGGACCCATCAAAGACACACTGTGGCTAGTGAGATGGGCATTTTGCCTAATGTAGATGGTCTCCAAGAAATATTGATGCTCTTCAGTGGGGCGCTAGTAAAGTCAAGAGTATTTTCACTTACATTAATAGACTAATAATGACATAAATTATTGTGGAAAGGTGGTGGGTAGGGAGATGTGTGTCCTTTTAATCTTTCTTAGGGGTTTTTTTATAGCACCTATTAAAGGGCAAATAGAGGCAATTGCTGGAGAATAGCCCCCACTTTGAATGCATAAATTGATAGCAGCATTGCAGAAAGTGTTCCAGCACTGCTTACATTATGAATCTGGTTTTCCCAAGAGAAAATACACCAATGGCCAAATCCTGGAGCCGTTCTCAGGCAAAGTTCCTTTGCCTTTAGTGGGAATTATGTCTTAACAAGAACTATAGGTCTTGCCCTTACTGCACAGATCTTTAGGCTTTAGTTCTATTGAAATATTATCTGGTTTTGTACCTGGAGAATAAACACCACATACCAGGCTGTAGGCCAAGCAGTGGAATTTTCCTAAAGAATTTGTTTGCCTCAGTAAATCTCTCTCTAAAGGGGTGGGGTTGGGGGGGTGTTAAGTGTTACGTAACAAGGGAGCAGGACTGGGTAATGTAAAAATAGCAAAGCCTATAAACTGTGTTGTGAATAATGAGTTAAGGGATACTGGAAGATGTGGATAGAGTACACTGAAAAGGAAATCAGTTTATTTTCTTTTTGCTTTCTTTCTAAATACAGAAGGCCAAATTCAGGCTTCCGACTTGGCACAGCAGTAGACTGAAGAAAATACACCTTGAGAGGCATCCTGGCCTGCAAATGTTGCACCCACCTTCCAGCTCCTCCAAAACCTGTGGGGAGCTCCTGGGAGGAAGCACTTGAAATTGGGAGGATGGTGTTCTTTGGAGGGGGACATACCACAACAGATGCTTTAATCGCTACCTGCCTCTTGTGCTATTCACTTAAGACCCTCCTAGTCTGTGCAACATAGGCATGCGCAGCACATTTCATTAGGGTGTGCACCCAGGGAATTTTTTTTTAAAGGCGAACATCATAAAGGGCGGGGTGTGGGAGGGGGTGCCGTGTGCAGGAAGGGGCTCGGGCAAGGGATTGGGGCAGAGGAGGGGTGTGGAGTGTATGAGGGGGCTCAGGAAAGGGGGTTGGGGTGCAGGGTGTGGCAGGGGACTGGGGTTTAGAGGGTGCAGTGTGCAGGAAGGGCTCAGGGCAAGGGATTGGGACAGGAGGAGGGGTGTGGGGTGTATGAGGGGGCTCAGGGAAGGGGGTCAGGGTGCAGGAGGGGGCTCAGGGCAGGGGATTGGGGTGCAGGGTGTGGCAGGGGACTGGGGTTTAGAGGGTGTGCAGTGTGCAGGAAGGGGCTCAGGGCAAGGGATTGGGACAGAGGAGGGGTGTGGGGTGTATGAGGGGGCTCAGGGAAGGGGGTCAGGGTGCAGGAGGGGGCTCAGGGCAGGGGATTGGGGTGCAGGGTGTGGCAGGGGACTGGGGTTTAGGAGGGGGGCAGTGTGCAGGAAGGGGCTCAGGGCAAGGGATTGGGACAGAGGAGGGGTGTGGGGTGTATGAGGGGG